CAAGTTGCTTCATTTTGTATTTTACTATAAGAAAGAGCTTTTCTTTATTTATTTACTTATAATGGACTTGTAGATTCTTGTTTCACTCGGTAAGATAAAATCCTTTATTGTCATTACTTACTTGCTCACATTATCTCAGATTTGGCCAGTGGGAACTCTCCACTAGATTGTCTTTCAACAAGCTTTCTTTATTCTTGGAGCACTTTCTTACTTCCAGATCTATCTTTTGCATTCCCTGGAAAAATCAGCCATGTTTCCAGAGTTCTGATTCCTTTGGTGGAGACTGGCACTTAAAAACCTAGATATGAGTGCTAGATAGGCTCATTGCTATTGATGCCACTGTTCCCAGGCTCTCTTGATAGACAGATGATACGTGTGTAAGCATACATACAAAGCATGGTTCACATCAAGTCTTCTAATTCTGATCTAACACAACCTGGTTCATTCAAGCTTTCCTTCTTTCCATATTTGTAACTGCTGTCTTCGATAAAAACCTGTTACATAAATATGTCCTCACTTTGAAATTACTAAACCAACCAACCTCTACTTGCAACAAATCTTTCATCACAATCACCTGCACTTGCTGCACATGAAGCTTTTTAATCATTGAAAAGGCTTTGAGCCTTTTCTTGCACTAACACATCCCCACTGCCACTGAGTCAATTCCAACTCCTGGTGACCCTATAGGACAGGGTAGAACTGCCCCCCTAGAGTTTACAAGGCTGTAAATTTTTGCAGAAGCAGACTGCCTCATCTTTCTCCTGCAGAGCAGCTAGCTGGTGGGTTTTAACTACCAACCTATTGGTTAGCAGCCAAATGCTTTAACCACTATACCACCAGAATTCCTTCTTGCACTAAAATAAGGCTAAGAACTATATGTACCTGTTCTGATTTACTTACAAATTTGACTTAAAAGACACACGCAGTAACAAATGGCCATCAAGAATGCAACTATTGGTCTCTACCCATCTGGAGGAAGAAAGACTGAAGAAAATCGAAGCCTCAAGGACACAA